TCAGAAGTCAGGTAATGAGTACATTTCTTTTTGGACAATGTCTCTCCTTCACTTGCTCCCAGTTTTTCTCTCACATCCACACCACAAGTTCTACAGTTCATTTTCTTTTTCTTTTTTTTCTTTTTATTTTGTCGGTCGTGGGGGCTGAACTCTGGGCCTGGGCACCGTCCCTCAGCTCTATACTTCAAGGTGAGAGCCCTACCACTTGAGCCACAGCGTCACTTCCGGCTTTTTCTGCTTATGTGGTGCTGAGGAGTCGAACCCAAAGACTCATGCATGCAAAGCAAGCACTCTACCACTGAGCCACCTTCCCAGCCCCTACAGTTCATTTTCAATATAGTGTCTAGTGAGTTCCTCGTCTGTATTTGCTCACTCTTTGTCCCTCCATTTCTGTGTTCCCTCCCTTTACTTTTATGGTATAAAATTCTTGAGTCATAAGTTTACCACAGAGCTCTTGGACACACTGTTGTATGCTCAGTTTGTTGCTATATTTGTAGCTGTTTATTTCCCTTATGATGCTATATCCTGTGTTTTGTGAAGACTCCTCTGGGTGTTGATTTCTTTTCTCTGATATGACAGGGTTTAGCAAGGCCTCTCCTTCAGCATGTGTAAGTCTGACTTTAAATCAGGAATCCTGTCTTTGATCTTGTTTCTATTCTCTTTGGCCTGGGTTGCTGTTCTCACCCAATCCTATGTCCACTTGCGTCTATGTCTTCACTCCATACCTTTTTCCTGCTTCCCATGTCTTTACCTTCCTCCCTTGCTCCCTCCCTCCCCTCCCTCCCCTCCCTCCCCCCCTCCTTCCTCCCTCCTCCTTTCCCTCTTTCCCTCTCATTCTTCTTCCTCTTGTGCCAGTACTAGGACTTGAATTCAGGGCCACATGCTCTAACTTATCTTTTTTATTTTTTTTTTTTGCTTAAGGCTGGTGCTGTACCATTTGAGCCACACCTCCACTACCAGCTTTTTTTGCTGGTTAATTGGAGGTAAGAGTCTCTCCAATTTATCTGCCTGGGTTGCCTATGAACCTTGATTCTTAGATCTCAGTACTCTTGAGTACTAGAATTAAAGGTGTGAGCCAGTCCCACCCAATGACTGTGGTGTGTATTTTTTTTTTTGAAGAGGTATTTTAGCTTGCCATGAGCATTTGGTGACATACTGTTGAAGACACATGTAGTGTTTGAGCGATAGTTGACTAGTGGTGACAGAGCGTTTGGCCCTCTGCAAAACTCTGTATAGGCATGTCACTTGATCCCTGTCTCAGATTCATGGTAGAGAGCCATAGCCCCAGTGCCCCATTCCTACCAGGCTTTACTTGCATTCACTTCAGCTTGCCTGACTTTCTGCCTCTGCCTCACTCATTTAGATAAAACTGCAAGTTCAGGTAGGCAGGGCAGCGCTGTTTCTAGTCCGTAGCTTTCCAGGAGGAGGGGATGTCCTCATTGCCCCTGCCCATGCTTCTGCCTATTTGTTTTCTGGTGATTGTCTTCTGCCATCTTCCTGTGTTCCCCGCCTCCCCCCAGAATATTCCTGCTCATCAGAGAGACGTCTTGAGGTAAAACCCAAATAGATTTTGCGGCTTCCACCACCATCTGCCTCTAATTAATAGAGATTGCTCCACAATTCCGGCATTGGGTTATCTATCAGTTTTGTTCTTGGCATTTGTGTGAATTTTCATTTTTTTTCATTGTCTTCATAGCTATGTTGGAACATAACAAGGAGAGGCCCCACAGAGGTGGCCAAGTAGATACCATGTTGTGGGAGTCAGCTGTATTTTAAAGCTATGATTTGTCCATCTTGAAGCATACTGTAGCTTTGTATGTCTTCAGAAAAGGGAGAAAATACAGGGACCTTTTCCTTACAGGGACCATGTGTCCAGTGACCTCAGTGAGCTGGGAAATGAACCAAAGGACGAGTCCACAGGCAGCCAAATAACTTTCAGTGTCCATGCTCTGAAGGTTTTTCACTTTCCCCAAAGGAAGACACTTCTGCCTCTCCTTCCAGGCCTGCTTACCTGTCTTTTGCACAGAATTCTAACATGCTTGGGCTGTTTTCCTAGTGCACGATTTAATTAGAATCAGCCCTTCCGAAGGGAGTCGAGGACATTTTGCAACAAGCTTACTGACATGGAAGGTTTTTAAAAAAGCAAATACAACTGCAAATGCAGAGACTTTGGTCATTTTCTGGGTTTATAACCACTTGTCTGAGCCTTTTCTCTACCAAGATGGGTGCTGTGTCACATGATGGGGGTAGAGACCGTCTCCTACCCGGGTGTCTAATTGCTCCCCCCCTGCCACCTTCCCTCCTCTCTCCCTCCTTCCCCATCTCTTCCTTTCTCCTTCCTTCCCTCCTACTCTCCCTCCCTTCCTATTTTCTCTTCCTTTCCCTCCCTCCCTCTCCTTTCTTTGGTGGTACTGGGATTTGCATGCAAAGCTTCACAGTCACTTGGCCTGCTTCTTATGCCATTTGAGCCACATCTCCAGCCCTTGCTTTCTGCGTAGGGGTGTGCACGAGTATGTGCGTGTACTGGTTCTGAGTTCTCTCACTCAGCTGGCACTCTGCCACTTGATTCATACCTCCAGTTTCTCCAGCCCCCCTTTTTTTGACATTTATTTTGGAGACAAGAGTCTTTTGGACTTTTCTTCATGGGGTACTTTCAAACCCTGATCCTCCAGGTCTTGGCCTTGGGAGTAGCTAGGATTACAGGTGCCGAGTTCAGGTGTCTGATGGCTAAGCCAAGATCCTCTTGGGGCTTGGCCCTAGGTTTCAGTGTTGTTTGAAGTGGTGATTCTGGGCGAGTCCCCTGGGCTCTGCCAGGAGACGGCCTCTCATGAAGACCATGAGCCTGTGTCTTCATGCCATAGGCTCTCAGCTATGAAATGACACGTATGTGGAAAAGTGATGCTCAGGGCTCTCCATACACCAGAACGGCACCAAAGCCTTCAGGTGCCACCAACATGGTTGGGTGCCACTTTTAAGGTACCTGACAAAGACCGCCTTGGCAAACAGGTACCTGGAGTGTGATGTCACTAGGTCAGTGGCTGTCACAGGTGGACACGTGGCATTTAAGAGAAGAACTTCGCCAGCTGAGGACAGTGGTGTTGAAGGTCTAAGAGTAGACTGTCCCAGGACTTACTTGCCTGTCCTCTGCCCTTCAGGATGAGAGCCCTCGTCCCCACCCCCCCAGACCCACCCCCCCTAACCTTCCTGAGCTCTGGTTTATCCATTTAGAAGCTCAGCACTGCAACCCCTTCTGCAAAGCCCACGAGGCTTGGCAGTGACACCCTCTCTACTCCAGCAGTCACTGGGGTGTGTCTTGCTGGGTCTGTGCACAAGAGGCAGACATCAGTTATTTCCTCCAGATTCAGTATGAACTCACTCCCTTAGACTTTCCCAAAACATAGCACAAAGTCACTGAATGGGCCTCAGGCTGTGTCTGCAGTGACGCCTCTCGGCCTCATTTGCAATCCCATTCGCCTCCCTAAGTAGACAGAGCAGGGACTTGGGCACATCCTGGGTTCAGCCTCCATGGCTTTGCTATGAGCATCATCTGTCCCCAGCCTGATGCAGGAGCAGCCCAGCATGGCTGTTCCAAAGTAGGAAGGATGATGGTCATGGCAGGGACTGAGCTGTTGTCTGGTGTGTTTGGGCTGCTTCCTCCTCCTGTCTTGACTTCTCAGGCCTGGTCACAGTGGAGTGAAAGTCTCTCTCTGGGTACCCCAGGGACTCCAGACCTAGACTGGCTGTGGAACTGGCAGGAGAGTTGATACTGTGGCCTCTCGTGTCCTTGGGCTAGGCCGGCCTGAGGATGCTCCAAGGGCTTGAAGCACAGCATAGCAACAGCGTGCAGGGCTGTTTCTTTCTCATTTCCTGAAACTGGTTCCTGACTTAGGGTTCTCAGGGGCTGGCCTGGGGGGCCTCCTAGGCACGGCAATATATCTTAGGGCTTCCAAGGAAGCAGCTGCCTCCTGCTAGCCTCTGAATTGTCCCTGTAGTCTTTGCCACAAAGCTGGGAGCAGGTGGCACTGAGGGGCCTTCCTGCTCTGGCTTTGCCCTGTCTCCATGCACAAATCACTTCTTTCTTTGACCTTGACTTTGGCCAGTGGCTTAGACCAGTCTCATGTCTGTAGAATGGGAATAACATTGATCCATCAGAGAAAGGCAGTGAGAACTGAATGAGGTCCAGCATGTCTGTGGCTGGGCAGGGCAGGTATGGGCAGTCTCTTGGCCTCTCTCCTGGGTTGGGCCTCATGTCTGTCTGTGGGTGTCACATACAGAAAGCAGAAGTCACCAGCAGGGAGAGGGTAAAGTTGTGCTGGGCTCCCCCTAGGATCAGGTTTGACAAGGCCAATCGTAGGAGAGACAGACAGAGCCCATGGCTGGTACACATCGATGTGCTGTATATCTTGCCTGCCTCTTGCTCGGGGGCCTGGACGCCCCTTCATTGATACCCGGCGGGCGCAGGCCCCAGCCCTGCCTCCCAGCAGTAGGGCCCATTAGAACTGAACTTTTCTTCGTGGGGCATTTTATTTGAACACTCCAGTGGAGTGGACACCAAAGGGGCTTTCTAATGCTTCACGGGCTACTAATTTCCTCTGTGACCTCTTTTGTCAGGGTCTGACCCCAGCCAGAGGCTCTGCGCCATGAAAACCAGCTCCTGACACAGACCCGGAGCGCAGGGTGACAATGAGGCCTCTATCGGCTTTAATCAGGCTGCAGTTGTGTCTTAAGAACAGGAGGAATTTGTGTGGTGCTCAGAAGCCCTGGGTGGCACCATATGGGGGCTCGGAGAGTCTCTCACGGAGGCCAAGACGGCTGAAGGATTCGTCAGGCGGGAGGAGGGGGAGGTCGGGTAGGGGTCCTTTGTCCCAAGGGCCTCTTTAGAAGGCCCATGGGTATCACAGGCCTCTAGGTATTTAGGGAGGTGGCCTCCCCCTCGGCCAGCCAGCCTATTCATTGCCAGCCTAATTAGTTTTTGTCTGTGTTTCCCCCCCCTCCTGCAGACTGCGATTCCTACTGCAAGGCCTCCAAAGGGAAGCTGAAGATCAACATGAAAAAGTACTGCAAGAAGGACTATGGTGAGTGAGTGAGAGCCTCTGGGGGAGGGCAAGGGCCCTGCAAAGAGCCCAGGTTGGGATGCAGGTGGCTGGGTGAGTGTTGGCCGTGGCGTTCCTGTGGATGGACGGATCTCATGCCTGGAAATTCTTCATCTCTTCCACCTTAGTTCAGGGACAGGAGATGAGAGAGGCTGCAGGAGCCCTGGTTGCCTCCTTCCCTAGCCCTGCAGAGAGATATCCAGGCCAGCAGGGACTACTGAGGCTGGGATTCCCAGGCTGGGCTCTGGCCCCCACACTCCCTCTGATGGGCTTTGTGGCCACGGGCTAATGATACGCTCTCTCCAGCGCTCTCTGTGAGATCCTTCAAGCACCAGAAAGGGAGTAGGAGCTCTGGTGTATTTAGAATAGCCCTGGGACTGCAGTAGGACTGGGAGTCTGCATGCCTTCCTCATCCTGAGGGGTCCAGGAATCCTTCCTAGGGACCCCAGCCTTATGGGGATCCTGGCTGGACCAGCTGATTGAGCCACACTTGAATTTTTTTTTTTGAGGAGGTCCCAGACTTTTTAGCATCATGAATGATCCCCAAAGGAATCCAAAAGAATGTGTAAGAACTTCTAGAGCATTCTCCTCTTACTGTGTGTATATGTGTTTATGTATGGACACACATCCATATATACACACCCCACAATAAAGCCAAGGCAAGACCCACCAATACAGCCTTCCTGTGGGCTGCCTCACCCCCAGGAGCAAGAAAGAGCACCTGAGATGTTTGATGTGTCAGTTCAGAAATTGCCAGACTTCAGATCTCTGCCCAAGACCTCCCCAGGGTCCACAGCCACAGAAAATTCATAGACACCCCTTTAAAGTGCAGGTATTCCAGAGCAGCTCAGAAGCTTCTGAATTTCCACAGCACATTTATTGTCTTTAAAGATAATTGTACCTGCTGTAGCTCAGGCAGGGTGACATCCCCAGGGAGGGGTCCAGGAGCTGTGTCCTTCCAGCCTCTGCGGGGGACCTAGAATATGGAAGGCTCCTCCACATCATCGTAGCCTCCTGTGGCTTGCCCAGGACTTCACACCTTCCCCTGTGAGGCCAGGGTGAGCGGACATGGAGGGAGGAGGAAGGAAGGTGGTAGGAGAAAGAAGGAAGAGGTGGTCAAGTAGCTGTTAGGCTTCTTTGTGTTCTTTAACTGCAACAACTTACTCTAATGGATCCCATTTCTATCTGCTTCAGTTGGACACAGTCTGATGGTGCTTGCTTTTGGCTGTTTTCTTCAATGAGAGACAAAAGTCTCTCCCACCTCTGATATTCCAGGGGAACCTCTCCCTTCTCAGCACTCTCCTGGCTTTCTCACCCCCCCCCTTGCAGGCTGACCCTCAGGAGGGAGGGCCTTAAGACAGGAGCCCCAGGTTGCCTTGAGTCCTGCCCTGCTGTGAGCAGCCTGGCAGTAGGCAGTGCTGCTGTTGTGGGAGGGATGGGTGGTATGTGGCCTCTGGGTTGCTTGTGGTCCTATGCTCCCTTGACTGCCCCCCCAACTTCCTTATGGTTTATCAGAGAGAAGCAGGTGCCAGATACTCTGGGTTCAGTTCCCTTAGGTCATAGCTGGGGACTGGCCAGGCTGGTGAGATGGCTTGCTGTCACGTCATCAGGTGGCGGCTCACCCTGTTCCCCCCAAACAGCCTTTCCTGGGCTTTCCATGAGTGTCACTTAGCCTGGTACCCCATTTTCCCAAAGGCCCTGAGAGGTGAGGGACACTCATCTTTCCAATTATGATGGCTGCCCCATCCTTGCTACCCACGTGTGTGGTCCCCATGTCCACACACCTGCTGAGGCTTGAGAGCCAGCTACAGCGGCGACAGGAGTCACTCTCTGGAAGCTGATGTGGCATCAGCCGGTTAGTGCCTTCTTCACCGCCTGGCACTGCCCCCTCCAGTACCCTAGAGGGACTCCGTATCACTGTGTTCTCAGTCTCTTTAACAAAATATGTGAGACGGGATACACTACAATGAAAAGATGTTGATTTTGGCTCATGGTTGGGGAAGGCCAAGACCATGGTGCTGGCATGGGCTCAGCTTCTGGTGAGGGCCTTGTGCCTTAGCCTATCTAGGGCGGAAAGCAGAAAGGAAGTAGGGCAACCTGCTCTGGAGAGAACTGACCTATACTTGCAGGAGCGACGTTCAGCCCTTCACGAAGTGCTGAGTTCCTTCTTTTCAAGGCCACATTAGGGACCAGATCTCACTCAGATCACAGCAGGGAGAGGGTGTGTAGTCTTGTTTCATGACTGTCCCTGGAAAATGCATTTAAAAGTGGAGGAGTCTCTTCAATCCAGGCTAGTGTCTGAAGTGAGGGGATCTCACAGTCTTCTGGGGACACATCAGAAAGGCTAGGTAGGGCCCCAGGGAGCATGACACAGGGTGGGTGGGTGCATGGAGGGCAGTCCAGCTGCTTTTGCTACTCTGGCTGTAGGTCTGAGAGTGAGATCTCTGCCTACCGCTGGGCCTGTGGAGACTTCCATGCATCCTGGGTTGAGTCCCTGCACCCCAGGCTGCAGTATGTATAGATGGTGAATATCTCACACGTGGGGAAGACCTGGGCCGGCCCTGGGAAAGAGAGAGACAGGAGGACAAGCTGACCTGGGGAATCAAGCAGGTGAGGTTGCCAGGCCAAGCCTTGGAAGGGAGCTGGGTTCAGAGACTGCATAATCCCTGCTTGCTCTCTGACACCCCGGCAGGGGGCCAATTAGGAAACACATTTCTTCACATCCAGGGCACTTGGATGTTCCAGGAGCTGCTAATTAGAACCTCACCCCTGCTGAGTAAAGAGCTCCTCTGGTAGGAGAGGCTTGACCCAGGGATGTTGGAGGACACCTCTGATGGAGGGTGGTGGTTCATGGATGGAGAACCAGGGAGGCTTGTGGGACAGCCCTGGGCTGTGGCTAGCCGGCCTGCCGTCTTCTTATATGTTGGCTAGTGAGCCTAGGACCAGCTTGAGGTGGGGGAGGGCCTGAGAGAAGAGCAGTTGCAATGGTCCCTTCCATTCAGTCTCTTCGAACTCGCCCTCTGACCTTGGACAGAGACCTTCACCACTTAGAGCCTCCGTTTCTACACCAGTCAGATGAGGTGCAATCAAGGCAACATGACACCCTTGTGAGACACTGCACATGGCTCCTGACATACCTAACACCATTTCTAAGCTGAGGGAGCCCTCAGCTGTCATCTGTCCCTTCCTCCGCTCTGTCTCCTGGGCCACATCAGTCCTCTGTTGCCCTCTAGGGGAATCGAACTCACCTTGCAAATTCTTGACAAAGAGCCAAGGCAAGGCCAAGCATGGACCACAGAAGACAGGATTTATTCTCTTTTCAAGAGTCTCAGCAGCTCAGGCCAACTTCTCGGGAAAACCTCAGCTTGGAGGGGCCCGTGCTTTGTGGGGGTGCTCCCAGCATGTGTGCTAGTGGATGTGCCCGTGAGTACACATGCCTGCAGCCTGTTGGTTTAGACACCGCAGTGCAGATCTGGCTGGGGTCATCTGCCCTGTGACATGGTTGCCTGGAGGCAGGTAGTGTGTTCCTTCCAGGCTCAGCGGCAAGGGGCTTCCTTTCCGTTTTCTTCCTTGATTCCTTATGGCCCCAACCCACCTCATGTACGTACAGCCTCCCCCATCTTGCAGGGCTGCTGCTCACAGGCACCACACACACTACACACAACCTGTAATGCAATATACAACACATGCACACCTCCAGCAGTTCTGGCCCAGCCTAAGTGGGTCTACAACAGGGCATGGCCCATCCTTTGGAGGGGTCAGGATGGAAGGCTTCTGGGAAGAGGGAGTCAGAACACAAGGATCTCAGGTAGAGAAAGGAGTTTCCATGCACAGAAGCTGGACATAAGTGCATGGGATTGGAGGTGAGTGTGGGATGCCAGGTATAAGGGGCAGCCTGGCAGGCTAGAGCAAGAGCCAGGGTAGACTGGCATCCTCAGTCACATGTGGCCCCCATGTGCCTGCTGCCCCTTTGCTTCCTCTCTGGGACTCAAACAAGAGAGGGCAGCACCCATTCTGAAAGGTGAGGCCATCTTCCTCTGCCAGCTCTGGGAAGAATGTATCCTTCCCAGAAATGCATATTCGTCACCCCTTTTGTTGAAAGACATTTTGGCACCATGGGATGGAAAAATCAGCATGCTTTTCCACAAGAGGATCTGTTCTTTCTGGATTCCCACAAGCAGGATTTCAGGGGATGGAACTCAAGGGGGAAGTGACATCTGTGAGGAGCGGCTGGGTCTCGGGTGCCTCTATGTATGTAGGAATGTGCTAGTGTGCTTCCCTGGGGACTTTGTTCCCTCTGTCCCCTGGTGTCTCCAAAGACAAGGTTCAATAGAGGACTTGCTGGCCAGCAACTGTGCCCTCCCCTGCCAGCCTTGGACCAGCCTGATAGTCATCTTCTTGTGGCTGCTTGCTCCTCAGGAGATGTTAAGGCTGGTGCTCTCTGATCAGTTTCAGGGCTGGAGGCTTTTCTTCTCCCTTAGGCCAGGAAGTTGAGCCTTGGGGAGGATGGATTGGCCACTGTGGCTGTTCGAAGGTTCAGGATCTGACTTTCAGATCCTAGTAAGATTGAGAGGAGAGGCATCTTTGTGAGCCACGAGGAAGGGTCCCTGTTGTTTGGGGGTAACACCTGAGATGGAGCAGCGGCAGTGGGTAGTGACAGGGATGTGAGAGGTGGTGGTGGTGACAGAGGTAGGATTGACTATTCACTGATGAGTGTGGCCAGGTAGAAGAAGGTTCTAGATCCATGAAAGTGCTTGCAGAGGTGGGCATGTTGCAGAGGGTGTGGCAGCTAGTTGGGCAGCAGTCCTAGCTCGGCTCTAGGCTGATGGCTTGGGCTGGGAAAGGCATCTCACAGCTGGCCCGAGACATGGGGCCTGTGGGCGCATGATGACCTCTGCCTTCATAAGCACCCCTGCCCTTCCTTTCACTGACCTTGGGGTGAGTAGTGATTGCAGACAGGCTCGGCCCTTCTGAGTGCAGAG